TAGTTTTGAGCGAGCTGGATACACTACCTCCTTGGAGTGTTTATTTGTATTTTGGGAAAGCAATGTTTGTTGTGAATAAACAAAGCATGCAAAGATTCAATACACATTTTGACATTTCTTCTGGGAGCTCCCTGGAGATGCATGCAACAGCTAAAGGTGGTGGTAGAGCAGCATGAGAAACTAAAGTGGCCATAACTTAGATGTCTGGAGACTTACATACAGTACTGGAATTCAGTTTGGGTTTTGAGTAAAATATCCCAACAACTGCTGGATTGTCATTACGTGGTGTTCCCCTCAGGATAAACTACAGTAGTCTAACTTGGTGATCCTGTGAATATTCATCATGTCTAAATTTTAATTTGTGCAATAATATGGTTTATGTAGAAATCCTTGTAAAAACTAATGATATTCAAATCAGACTCAGCTTCTTTGTGCTTACTGCTAATTTAGCAGCATGCTAAAACACTAAACAATGAAATTAAACATGGTGAACATTGTCCTAGCCATTATATGCTAAACATCAGTGTGTTAGCACTGTCACTGTGAGTATGTACTATTAGCATGGTGACAATAGCATTTAGGTCAAAGCACCACTGTGCCCAAGTACAGCCTCACAGAGATGCTAGCATGGCCCTAGCTTATAGAGTGTATGTAAAGATGGACTACATTTCTCCATTGTCTTAAAATGTCCAGGGTATGGGAACTGCCATCTTGCCCTAGTAATGTCATTTGGAGCCAGAGTCCACGCAGTAGCAAATGGGAATAGGCCCCCAGGAAGTGCACCGGGCTTTAAAGCCAATTTACGTAGTGTCATTCCATCGGCCATGTGGCCCAAAAAGATGTTTTGAATGTCACATCCCGCGCGACATGACTTGTTTCACTAATGGTGTAACAATTCGGCATTATTGGTCACCTGCTCACTTCTACCTACCCAATCATTCAGCTCCCATCAATACTTTTCCATTCACCCTGGTTTCCAGCGCCTCAGCATCGGTCACACCCACCTCATCGAGGCAACTCTGTTCACCTGTTCCTGATTAAGTACAGCCCAGTATACCCCAGCCTCACAGACACTCTTTGCCAGATTGTTCTTTGCCATTACCATGCAAAACTTTCTAGTGTTCCCTTTCAAACTGATTTCTCCCTGCTGTCCCTGCCTGTCTTTGAATCTCCTGCTTCACCTGCCTCCTGGTGAACTACTCAGCCCTCTGTCCCTGACCACAAGCTCTGCTTCTGTGTTCCTGGTGTCTGTTTGCCTGCTCCTCGCCTGGCCTGGCCTGGCCTACCGTCTGCCTGCTCCCCTCTGGTGTGTGTGTTGGATCTGCTGCTCACCAGACAATGTCTCCTGTCTGCTCTTTCATGGCACCACAGCATACATGTGAACTGTCTGATGTGTGTGTGACTTGTGACTCACCTGCCTTCTTCTTTGGCATGGCCCGCTGAAGCTTTTGGATCAGTCCTGTGCCTCAGGAGATTTCAAGCCAGGGAATTGGACTTTCCTGTTGCTTCACCTGTTCATTCTGTGTTCTACTAAGTGGCTTCATGCGCCATTGAGCAATCTTATATGAATTAATGGGTTCCCACCTCCAGTGAAGTATTGACATTCATAGCTACATCCATACTTCATATACAGTCATTACTGTAGACTCTTAGCCTTGTTTTTCTGAGTCATTGTAAAACCACTTTGTGGGACATGAGTTTCTCTCAACACCACACTCAGAATTGAAGTAAATGGCACTTTAGTTACGCATCATTTTGTAAATTCTACTGTTTAACTCGGCTAAGTCTTAGCACCACATGATTTAATTTGTGTGAATATGGTGGGGTGGAAGGTGTCATGGTAAGGGAGGTTGGCTGGGTGACAACAGGGCAGACCTACAGTAATACAAAAAGTTCTAAATGTGACAAAGTTAAAAGCATGAAGGAATGAGAGGTAAAAAGAGAAGTGCCGCAGACTTTATGTGAAAAAGCCACAGTAAATTAGGAGGTGTTCTGTTGAACCTGTTTTGGTTTTTGACAAGTGAACCCACAGAGGACACATTTTTAAGTGGGTAAGTGCTCTTTCAAAGTACAGGGTTTGGCTGCAGATTCAAAAAGTGGCGTAATGCTCTGGTCAAAGCCTCTGCAGAGTCTAATAATTTTGGTAATGGTCTTGTCTGTATTTCTGTTGAGATATCCATCATTGAAGTATTGCACCACACACAGACACAAACTGTCTAACCAATCCATCACTGACAGTAGCAGTTCTGTTTTCCATCTTTCAGCCATCTCCCTCTTCTCTCATTTCTGTTTGACCTCTGACCCCTGCAGGAACCTGTGGGACACCCCTCTGCCTCTTGTCAGAGACTGTGCATATTAACCAACCACTTGGGCACTGAATCTGTTTCATTTATTAACACAGAAAAGCCCAACAGGAACTCATTATTAGCACTGCATAATTGCTGCAGCACTTCTACACAAGCTGTTCCTCAACCTCTTCAGACACTCCAGACAGCCTGAAGTGTTCCTGAGTGCGTTATAGTAAATATATGCACTTTGCAGAAGAGTTAAGTGTAAAGAAGTGCAATTCTCTCCAGGTACAGAACTAATTTGATGGACAGTCCAAGCTGTGGTTCATTTAATAAAGATAGTTGTGTGCAAGTGTGGAGATTCAGAGATGTGATTAGGTCCATCTCACAGGATTCATTATTTTTTTAAAAGTACGTATTAATTGATCATATCTAATGGCTTAATATGCGCAGGGGGAGATGGTGAGATGAATATGAATAATAAGGAGACAACGCACAGATAATGCTTCAGGACCTGCTTGCTTCACAGCTGTGTATATTGGTGCAGTGGGCTCAGGGGAGCTTGTGTTTATCTGTTTGTTTTTCTCTTTCTGGGATCTGTCTCCTCCGATTTCTGTTACTTTGCTATGAGGTGAAGGAAATACACGAAATCACAGAGAACCTGAGCGTCTATAAAAACTTTGAAATGCAATAATAGTTTGTGTGCTTTAAAAAAAAAGTCATCAAACACTGCAGCCCAGTGCATATTTATAGTTTTGTCCTGGCTGATTTTGATGGATTAGTTTACGTTTTATTTTTACCATGCAGGTTATCCAGCGTCCTTTGGGAGAACCAGGAGTCTCTGAATACAAAAACAGTTTCTTTTACGTTCTTTAGACCATCTCTCAGGCTTCATAGCAGCCAGAAGTGGTGTTGCATTACGTCTAGATGCCACTTTGAACAAGGCTACATTCACTCTTGCTATCGGTCTGCCCTTATTCCCTGTCCACTGCCACATTCGTCTGGGTAAAAGCTCTGTAACGTATGCGTGGTCCAACAAGCGTTGTCCTGGTGAAAGGGGACACAGACAGGAAATTGGATTTCTTCTGCTCTCTAGACGTGCTGGCATTCGGGTGCTCCCTGTGTCCCCGTTGCACAGCTCTCTCAATCACTTTCTCAGTCACAGCGCAACAACATAAGGCTATTAGAGCTGCCGCACAGATGGATGTAATCCATACACAGTGCTGCAGTGAATTACAGAGAAATGTCCCTCTCTGCTATTTCTAATGGGACGAAGCCAGCACTTCAAAGCTCTTCTTTCTTAAAGCAGGTGTCTGGGAAGCTGTAAGTATGCAACTTTAACATTAGGCTAAAACATCAATTTGAAATCAGGCTGGACCATGAAATTGCAGCGCAAGTGAAAAGTTTTTACTATCCATGCTACTTTATCCATCTTACTGCGCTTTTGTTGAATACGAAGACCAATTAATCCCATGTTTGATTTGAAGCCTGTTATGAGGCAGCCACGCTCACAGCAGGATGTCAATTAAACACATTCACAAACCATTTTACAAGTGTTTCTTTGCACACATACACTCTCCACCTCTCAAGAGCTAATTCTTCCTTAATTCACATGACATTATTAGTTGAATTAGAATATAAGATATAAAATTAGCTAAAAATGTTTTATGTCAAGTGCTTCTTTTCAACTTGTGACAATTAAATGCTTCAGTTGGATGCAACCACTTGCATATTTACACATTCCTGCAGTACTTGTACAGAATCCTGCATAATAACCTTGTTTAATGTGTGTTGATCCAGAGTAGAAATGTAATAAGGATTTTGAGCAAAAGCAAACAATATAAATATCAACCATGCAATCATCCAGGCACAGCTCACTGGAGGATATAAAGATATATTTTTCATTTTGCATAATAGCTAGCAGGAGGTTCAGTGTAAATCCAGTGTAGGAATTTTCCTGTTGGTGGACTATTCTTTTTCGCTAGAGCGAGACAGAAAAGAAACTTCAAAGCCATGCAGCCACCAGTGTGTTTTATCAAAGATGTATCTTCCTAAATGCAGTCTTTACATGCCTCATGCACCATATAATGCCGAGCAGCTATTCAACATCTGTGTGGCCCACAGCAAATGCTCCACACACACACACCACTTAACATTCATCGGCTGGACAACAGAAAAACATGTGAATAATTTAACACACTGCTGAAGTGAAAACAGCTTGGAAAGCAATATGGTCGAAAAGATGTCCAGTGTGCCACATTGGTTTGCAAAGCTGAATGCAGCAGGAAATATTATGAAGCTGAAACAGTAGGTGTGCATTCAACCCTCATCCGTAAACAAAGTGAACAAGATTGAATACGCTTGACTCAATCAACTACACCCATGAGCGTCTCGACACGGTACCTCGGGATGTGTAAATTGACTGATAACTCTCATAACTCATCGCTACGTGTTATAATTACCTTTGAGGAGAGGTGGCAACAAGATCATCACTTTGAAATGTGAAGCAAATGCCTCGTGCGCATAAAGTCAGCACACATTGACATTTTCTACTCAGTGAAATGTAGCTCAGAGCATCAAAGATCAAACTGAGTGAATACTGTAGCTATGGTTGTATGCAGTTTAATGAATCAGTGTGTGAGTCCTAAAATCTTTTGGCATTGTGTAGCAAGTGCTGGCAATGCTCTGCCTGGAGTGAATACTGATACTCACAGGAGGAATGGCTGCTGGGGAAGCTCTTGCGTCCCTCAGAGACTAGATCTGGCTCCCCGGTGCACAGCATCTTCAGATTTCCTTGTCCATCTGGGAAACAACGCTGGAAAAAATCGGGTCTAGGTCTGAAAATCGAAAAACAACCCACAAGATGGTTTCTGTGTCTCTGATAGAGGTAGTTCCTTCTACTTTTTAAACATTTAATTGGCAATAAATCTAAATCTTGCAAATCAAAACTGAAGAATGTGATCCTCAGAGCCTAACATCACTGACAGAGCCTGTAAAATGCTTTAGTTTGTGAAGCATACCTGCCAACAATCAACTTGATAGTATTTGTGAAGACTCCATTGAGGGCGAGAGCCAGGGACACAGCTAAAAGGGAAGATTGACACATAGAATCAAAACAGGATCGTAGGTGATACAGATGATGTTGACACTACACTTTCAGTGTAAGTAGTTTCATACAAACAAAGTAATGCTGTAGTAAAAGAACTGATTTTACTATCAGTGCAATACAGGTTCTGGCACGTTGCCCACTCTTCTGACATAATGTACAAATAAAACAGCCAATTAGGTTCACAGGAATTCCCCTTGCAGCTGGACAGATGGTTGTCAGGATTTACGTGTGAAGCCTCTCGTAATTTTTAAGCAGCAAGCAGGTTTTACACACAGTGCAAGCCTCACAAACACACAAAGAAATACACAAATACATATATCAACAAATGGGAGGTTTTTACATAGAATATTTCTTTCAGACATGCAGCGGCCTCAGAAACAATGTCAATTTGTGAACACACATGAAAATCCAAAACAAATACATACACAGCAAACATGCTGCAAATACAGAAATGATGCAAAGTCAAATACACACAAACCCAAAAACATTTGCAACAGAAAAACGCTGCATATCCAACACAACTGGACATCTCCAGGCATCTAGGGGGAGTGCTAAGTGGAACAGCTTGATTGTCAACCAGAGAGAGAGAGAGAGACCAGACATGAGTGTGTTTGGTTATGAAGTGGGGAAAAAGTGCAGTAAAGAGAGTACATAAAAAGGTATTCTATTTTACATTTGGCCTTAGTCTGTTTAAGTATAATACAAAAGCAACAGATTTACATGGTGTTGGCATGCTAGGGATATGCAGCATTTTTATGTTGCATTTGTTTTCAGGGGTTTGTGAGTTTTTTACACTGCATTGTATTTTGCAGTATGTTTGCTGTTAATGTATTTGTTTTGGCTTTCTGAAGTTCGTTCTTTCATTTCCAGCGCATTTCCGTTGTTGTATTTGTTGTAGATTTTCATACGTGTTTTTAAATTTGTAAAGTTTCTCCTAATGGAAATGTTCAGGCCGTTGAAGTGCATTTACCCTTGTCAGCCACCGTTCTATTCCCTCCCAGTCATTGATCCAGCTGAATGTCAATGATGTTTCAATAAGGCTAATGCTGTGCTCACACTATGAGCACCACAGCAACAGGCTACAAGTCATTTTCAATGAGGGCCAATGACATGAAGCCACAAACTGACGCCTAACACTTGTGACTGCTGACAGGCATGACACGCTATGAAAGTTAGAGTTAGGGTTAGGAGGTTAGTCGGCCTCAACGTTATTCAGCACTCCAATGATGTGGTGAGGCGTCAGCCAATCATATCTTCTTGTTTCTAGTTGTGGTACTGTTTAGCTTAGTTAGCTGATGCTATGCTAGCTTTCTGTGTATTGCGGGCTGCAATGGGGTGGTGAAATGTGATGTTAAAATGGGGCTCAGACACCGAAGAAAAGCATAGATACATTTACAAACTTAATAAACTTTAGATGACGTTTAGTTGAATAGCATTGTTGCAAGTAGCAGATACACACAAGCCTGTGACTATGTAACTACATTCACAAGTGCTTAAGCAATACTTCAGCGGTGACAATAATGTAGCTGGTCACGCTGTTCCTGTGTTTGTCTTACTGTGAACACAAGATAACAGTCTACAGCCACAGTAAATCAAAGTTATTAATCCATCCATGTATATCTGTGCCACATTTCATGGTAATCCACCCAATAATTGTTGGGGCATTTCTGAAAGCCACAGATGTGAACCTCATGGTGTCACCACAGGAAAAGTCAGGAATCACCGAAGTGATCAGCATTTATCTTCTGGGCATGACAATGACAATTCATGTAATAATAGTTATAGTAATAATAGTTGAGATATTCCATTCTGGACCAAAGCAGCGGACTGACAGACCAACAGACATGCTGACATTGCCATAAACAGAGCCATGCTAGCAAAAATAGTCACCAGATTTCAAGACACGCTGTGCACACTGTGGAGTTTAATGCTGGAAAATATCTATTAGATATTTAATTGGAAGAGGAAGTGTCCCTACAGTGGTTCCAAAATGATTGCACCTATTTAGAACCAATCTAACTGTAAAGCAATTACTGCTTCAGCTCAACTTTGGTAATGGGAAACAGGAGGACTGCTGTTGGTTGACAGGTAGGTATTGCGCTGTAACTGTACACTCATTTAATTAGCTATGAGGCAAACCACTGGGGCTCGTCGTTAGCCAGAGTTCCTGCCCTTGCAGGTTAATCCCAATAGTCTGCAGGCCAATTGAATGCACCCCACGTAGACAGAGCTCAAATGTATTATCTTCCTGTGCTGCCGAGAGGAGCACAGTGTCAATGTTATTTAACAGCTTGTTAATTTGGGCAAACTCTGTGCAGATCAGATGAAAGCCTAAAATGAGACATGTTCCGTTTGACCAGTTGGAAAATGGGACATTAAATTGCAATGTGTTCCCTTTGTCAGATCTATTTCAGTATGAGGAAGCCTAGCACTTACTGTATAAAACTATTGCTCCAGCTCATACAGTATATAGTCTAGCCTTGGGAGCTTTGCTGATGGTCATTAATATTAATGAATTAATAACGGCCCAAAGCTAACAGTTGCACTAACAGTTTTGGCAGTCCTTTCTTCTTTTCCACACTTTGCTAAACTCCTGGCACCAATAGCTGATCACATTCATAAAGGAAACATCATCTGACCTAGCAGCATATTTAGGATGCTTTATCATAATGTGGTATACTGTTTATCCATGCCCTGTGGTTTCTGCCTCCAGTTTAGCCTTACATCTGCTATTTTCAAAGGGTATGACAGGAACTGATGTGACTGGCCTTTCTTTAAGCTCACCACAAGTATACCTGCTGATACTGCATTCCTCCTCCTAATACTGCATTCCACCAGCGTAAGTCCTTTTGCCAAATTGGTCTGTGCTGCATTAGGATTGTGCTTATGCCTCTGGTCGCCAAAATTGGGCCCATTCAAATGCACTTTCCCCAGAGTTTGCACTCGTGATTGCAGTAGGGTCTCAGGAAATTAGAGACCTATTGAGTAAAGACAGCGTTACTGCCATCATTTCACCAAAGACTCTCTCATTCAGCTCGTGTAGATCAGCCTAATTTCCTGTCTAGGCTGATCAGAACCAAACAATTGCCTGTGATTTGGCATTTTTGATATTCATTCAGCTCTCGATGTTTTGACACATTAGACAAAATATGCAGAGACCATACAAACTCCTACTACTGAAAAACCTCTCATTGTCTCCCTAACTGTAAGATTACTCCTTCTACACACACCAAACAATAATGCCTTAGCGTGCTATGAGATCTCACATGCAGATGATGAATAATATACTTCATGCTTTGTAACCAAAATTAAGAATAATCACTGTGGAATCATCTCTGTGCCGTTCTTAGAGTGTAGTCTTTTGGAAAATACAATCAAACTTCTGCAATGGCTCCATTATATCTTGACTGATGGATAATCACACAATTAAGCTGCAGGAGTTTGGGAGTGATAAAGGGTTATTAGACGACACTACAAAGGGAACACTGTGTTCTTTTTACTCCAGAAGAAAATAAAGAGGCGTGGATGTGACAGCAGATTGCACTGCTCCAAACAATAAATGCACAATATTAGCTAAACCAAGTCCCAATGGTATTATGACAGTGAAAACCTACCTCACACCCTTCATTTATGCCCGCTCAATTATATCTGTTTGAAACTTCTGATTCATGAATTCCGAATTAGAGGACCCTGAGGGGCAACTTTGAACTCCATAATTTTGCAGGAAAACAGGGACAGACACTTTTATGTGATCTTTGCTTGAGATGAAAAATAAATACGTCTGTAGGTAGTTAAAAATAAGCGACTTCTTAACCGCACGGCCCCATCCCAAAAACTGCTTTTATGATCCGTCTTTCTCATTAGGTCTAGAGGTAGCATTGGTTCAAAGCCGTGTTCAAAACTATGATCATGTAGAAACTTGTCAGAATAATTGGCTCCCTTTTATTCTTTGTTCTTCTGAGGGATGTTGTTTTCCTGTTCGACTATAAAGCCTCGTAGAAGTGCTTCTCTGCAGGCGGTAATGGGCCTGTTAAATTCTACACAGCTCTAATCTCTACGCTGATTCACCGAGCTACCCTCTCTCCAACAGATTCATCTCTGTGTGTCTCTTTAATTGGATTTGTGTTAAACTTTCTTAATGCTCTGTGATGTACCAAAGCCTCTGCAAGCCTCCCAGCCCATGGCAAACAGGGGAAAAATCAGTGTCAGAGATGGTGTGAGAATTAAACAAATAGCACACCATTTTAAATGTGTGTAAATATTCATGGTTTCTCTGATTAAAATGAACTTGGGAGGTACCATACTGACTGTAGCACAAGGTCACAGAGATGAAAGACCAGCACCATTAAGCACAGTAAAGTACTTCTACGTAGGTGACCAATTAGCCCAAGCTTCCAGGTAGAGTGGGGGAGAAAGGGTTTTGTAACAAATGTAATATGTGCAGAAACTATAATTTCAGATCAGTCGCCAGAAAAAATGTTAACATTGTACCTTTGTCCCAACCACTGATATGTTTCATTTGTATATTTCATACCTATCATATCAACATTTCTAAAGTAACATAGTTGTGATTATATATACTATATAAGAGCTGAGTTTCTCATCAGGAGGACGAGGGCATGGTGGATGGCATGACACCTATAGGTGAGATGGCCAAGCAGCAGACAGCAGCAGACCACTGTCTCAGAACAATAAACTACATGAGTGGGTATTTTTAATGACACATCAGGACATGTTGCAAAAAAACTAGGAATATTTTAACGACATGTTGGGACACTGCCAGTTGTGTCTGTGGCAACCAAACCGGTTATCTTTTAGGGACATGTTGGGACATTTCCAGCCATGTTCGTGGCATCCAAACTAGGTATTTTTACATGTTTTCCTAACCCTGAATAATTGTTTTTGCTCTTAGAGCTAAACACTTGTTAACTGCAGTGTTGTCATTACATAAATTAAAAGCTGAAACATAAAAGAAACGTGAAGTTTCAAAATATCTGCTGCATATGAAACACACAAAATTAACAAATGTCACATACCCATGGTTTGCAGAAATGGCTGATAATAAAAATGCTGGGTTGATAATATAAATGCTGTTAATACCTCTAATATGATTGTCACTACCAACAACACATTTTTGACATTTAAATTAATTGGCTCCACGTACCTAAACATGCCTCTTTGATCTCCGTCTTGTCCGTCCTCTGAATTATCTTCACTACAAATATCACCGCCAGTGGGGTGAGGAATGAAATTGCCTGTGAGGAAATAAACACGATCAATGTACAGTCATTGTGACATTAAAGATGTGCTGCAGCGTTTAATAGGGCACATTTTGCAGGTCAATCGTAAAATGACTTTTGCCTCGGGGAATGACAAGAACCTATCAATTATTCAGAGTTCATTTTAACAAGACAAACTGAGGGGCCAGACAAGCTTGTTTATTGTTCAGTGGGGTCTTTTGCCTACACAGGGAAGAATTTTGCCCCCTCACTTGATAAGATTTGAGCCTCCTCAGCACCTAGGTAATTATTCATGCCTCAGAATGTTTTAATTACACTTCAGCCAAAGTCAATATAATTTTTTTTTGCCTTAAGCAACAGACCTAGTGAAAAAAAAACAAAGGCAGAGTTTCAGTTCCTTTATTATAACACACACTGAATTTCCCTTGTGTGTTGTTCATCAGTTCAGCCATGCGCGCATCTGTGTAACTGCCAATTCTAAACTCATTTTGTACCTCGCCGTCATCTCTGAAGTAGCTGGATTCAAAATTTTAATCACACTTGGATTCAAGTGTCCTAACTGATACTACATGAATTAGAAATTCAGTTAGCCACAATTCATTCATGTCATGGTAACGTGGGCGCAGACGCTAGCCTTCGGAGGTTGGAATCACCTGTGATATTGATATTTTTCTTCTTTCCCTCAATACCAGCTATTTCAACATTGATAAAACATTCAGACAACAAATGTATTATTTACAAGTGAATAAGTTTTGGCCCCAAAAGGGGAAAAAAATGAAATGATGAAAACATTTCGTCGGTGTCCTCGTAAGTGTTGCATGACAGGGGAGGACACTGTTGTAAAAATGTTTTCCCTCAAATAAAATTCAAAGTTAAATTTGTTTTCCAGCCCCAAAAGTGACCCTCTATCACTACTGAACAAGAGCAGTACTCACAATTGGACTCTAAATATTTTTTGAAACCCATTTTTCTTTGGGCCCTCAGCAGGTTGCATTGAATAGTAGGTTTAAACTGTGATTTGTCTTTTCAGCAACACACTTGTAAACTCCAGCTTGCCATAGGCATTATTGTATCTTTCTGCATACATTTTGATGCTGATCATTTTCTTTTACCAATTGCTGGTGATTTTTTCTATTCCTATTTAACTGTTGTCAGTGATAATTTTTTCATTTTTGACTCTTTCTGTCCTTTCACATGTCAGACGGGCAGAACCATTGTGCAGCTTTTTGTGCTCCATGAACAAAACATGTATTTTTGCAAACCCTTCATATAAAATGACAAAATACCATCTATTTGTAAAGAGGACTTTCTAAAAACCTAAAAGCATGAAAGATCATTAAAAAATACAAAGCAGTGCTCTCAGCCATTTGACTGTACCCAATCAAGTGGCAAAAGATTCCAAATTACTATTGCTCATACTGTAGCCACGAAAAACACAGTGCTAAAACTGGGTCTCACATTCGGCGGAAAACAGCCATGCATGACATACTGTATCAGGAACAGTATTACAGTGTGATAAAGTGTGGTTGCACCTGCAGATGGAAACAAATTTAACAGTGTCTTGCACCGGTGAGGCATTTTCTGGATATCGCTGCATAGTGAGTAGAATGAGTTCAATGAGGTCACATTGGAAGTGTTCGCAAAAAACTACCAAAAAAAAAAAAAAGACAGACACAGATTCAAATTCTGAACGTACTAAAATGTTTCCTGTCAAAAAAATGGATTAAGGCAACAAAGCTGTGGCAACTCAGCAGCTGGTGACATCAGTCATGTTCACCAAAAATGCACCCTGAGTATCAGTGCCCTTTCAGTCACAGCAGCACCCATCACTTTATCCCTGTGACTGAACACATGCAGGGTGAAACGGCTATGTTTAGATTTACACTTCCCTGACAGTATTTTATTTACAGACGCTCTTCATAGCCTAAAATTACACACTGGTGCTCCTGGGAGTTTAAAACAGTTATCAAAGATGTGAAGAGTCATATGGAGATGAGGAAAGCAGGAGGCTACTTATGAGGGTGTGAGTTGCCATGGAAACACATTTAAGTATGCAAAAACATCTTAAAGGTTTGACAGCGAAAGTGATCTGGTCTTATAATATTTTGTGGCAATTTAAAGATACTTATAAAAGAGCACCTCTGCCTTTTCACTAATGAAGAAGATGCAGTTTGGCTCATGGCGTTAAGTCATGTTCATTATTATCTTTCTCACATTTCTAAATGCTCTAACATGTTCACTTAACACTTAAAGCTTTGTACTGTATGTGCAGCTGTTTAACTGTGAAATCCTTCTTTAATATGATGTAAGCGTAACAGGGAACTATGTTTTCAAAGGTCATATTTCTCCTGGTATGTAAATAAGTGTAACCTAGTTAAGTAACTCTGCCTAGACTGTGGACTATACTCACATATGCAGCTTTCAGGGATACAATAATGTGTAGATAAGTGAACATAAGTCTCAATTAAGTTTCAGTTATTTGATAATTAGTTACAATCTTAATGTAAATGTAAAACTTTTGGAAATGCTTCATATATATTTTACCTGTTAAGTAAATGAACTTGCAGATTAAGGGTAACAGCAAACACTTAAATCCACTGATGAATTTAAAGGGATTGTTAAGAATGTGGTGACAGAGACACGTGCTTGTTGTTCTTGAGAGGCCACTGTGTTTGAATAGTTTTTTTTTTTTTGTGGATTTTTGTGTTATATGTTTTATTTGTTGCATTTTAAATGTGATCTGATTGGCCAGGTCTCTCTTATAAAAGAGATTTTCAATCTCAATGCAGCTTCCTGGTTAAATAAAGGTTAAATAAATAAATAAAAGTTTCCCTCAAAGATGAGATTTGATTTCCAGGCACTGATTTGAGCATTGTATGCTATAGCATTGACCTGTTTACAATCAACGGACAGAAATGTGACCTTTGGCTGTACTGATTAGAGGGCTTGTACTCTGAGATCTTTGGGTCCAACAATAAATAACAAGTACTGACAATACTCCTACCCCTCGCATAATGAGAGTGACTCTTGAGTCTAATGCAGCATATATCTTAATGAAGGTCACAGTGAGTCATGATGTAGCTTCATGTAAATCCCTTCCATGGACTATTTTTAATGGCCAGATAAATTCTCCGCACCTTCAGGGCTTCTGTCAGTGTGATGACATTGAAGAAGCCTGACTGTTGGGTGTCAGCACTGGGAGCTTGTTCCCTAAGAGGTATGTGGGTTGGGGGGGGCTTTCTGTCCCACTCATTATTTAGTGGCTTGCCACTAGCAAAGATCCATGGACATTTAAGTTAATATCAAGTGTCAACATTTTTTATAAAGCATGTTGAAAAAGGAAATAAGAAAGTTCAGATAAGCTTAGATAAGCTCAAGGGTTTATTTGTTGCTTTTTGCTGGACGCTCTGCACCAAAGATGACTGGCCGAGGAAGTAAAGTTGTAGGTGTTTGTGTGTACTTTTGTTTTCTGCTTGATTGGTAGAGGCTTTCTGTAATTAATTTCAAGTGCCTATAACAAATGATTTGTTGATAAGCAATTTAAATCTCAGTGTTGAATTTATGAGCAAATCCATTTCTGTTGATGTTTTAACCCCTTCATGTTTATTGTTGGTTAAATTGGTCTAGCATGAAGACTTCTAGACGTCATTAAAGGAGTACTTCACTCTCACTCTTCACTTTTTGTTTGTCAGTTACTCACCCTGAGTTACAATGAATTTATGAAGCAACCTTTTCTTAAGTGCCCCCACGTTTAATGAAGAATCAAAAACATAGAAAAAATTCTTGATGAATTGAAGTCATAGGGATCCACATTTAACAACAGCAAAACTATATCAACCTACTAACTCTCACACAACTTATGCAGGATCATCCAAGTCTCATTTATCCAGTCGTATGCTTCACGAACATACAACCCTTTCCAACGGTGAACTAACTTAAACTGAAACATAGCTTTGCTGTCTTTAGCCAAACTCCATGGTCAAAAGCAGTCATTTTACCTCACTGAACATGGGAGCTGCTGTTCTACCACTGCCTCTATCAGTTTGTGTGTGGTACTGTGTGACTTTGGTTACTTAAAGGATTGGTCTGATTCACCAAAGTTATGCAATAACACAAACTACTCATCAAGGCAGTGGTAGACCAGCAGCTCCCACGTTCAGCAAGGCAAAATTGCTGTTTTTGTTACTGGAGTTGGTTTCTGTTTCACTTTCAGTTCATTTTCCCTGTCTGTTTGGGAAGTACTGAAAATACAACTAGATAGATAGATATACTACTGCACAAGCTGTGTGAAGGATGGACAGAGGGCAGCACACAAGGGAATACAGTTTTGCTGTTGTTAGATGCAGTAACCTCTGACTTTTATTTTAAGAATTTCCTTTTCTTAGTTCACCATGGAGGCATGTGAGAAAAAAAACTTTTTCTTCATGGAATTAACATAACACAGAGTGAGTAACTGATACACAAATTATCATCTAGGGGGTTGAAGTATTCTTTTAAGTTGGGCCAAGCAAAGCCTCAACAAGCAGCATCTCCTGCTGATATTTAATTTATTCAGTCATTTACTGTATATATTTAGGGGTGTAAGTATTCCAATAACTTAAGTTTACAGGAGCTGCAGTTATTTCCAGCTTGAAATGACTAACAGTTAACGCTCACCACCTACTCTGCAGCTGTTTCTGTGTATAATGGTTTGATTGATGTGTGTGGGGGAGCACAGGACAGAGTGGAGCGCCAGTCAGTCAAACACTGTCAGTTTGCAAAGAGGTAAGCTAAACAAGCAATGGGCGGGCAAGTCTTTGCCTGTTAAGTTGATTTGATGTGTTGATCAAACAGTGAGTACCTACTAGAAGATCTTCTCACAAGTAAGCATGCACACAAAGATGTCCAGCTGTAGAGAATTAAACATAACAGCATGTCAGAGAAACCATGAACTGAAACTCTGAATTATTCAGCTAAAAAATTCACAACCCAAAGCAAATCCTGCTACATCAGGGCCTCGTGAAACCTGTGAAAGCTGCCTTGATCAGTCTTTGATGAGGTGGAAAAAGAGTTGACAATATAAGAGAATAATGCAATCATCATCTGAACTCAATTTCTGCCCTTGGGTGCCAGGATGAAAAGCACATTCAGAAAGTATTCATATTACAGCAGCTTTAAAAAGCTTTCTGCTTCATATGAAACTCATTCTGCCTGAATGTTCAAGTTTGGATGGTTACAATTTCTGTTGAAAGTTTAAGAACAATTGCAGCTGTTATATATCTATCATTACTACAGCCCAGTGCTTGACGTCTTGGAGTCTTTGCTGGTTACATGGCTGCCTCATGGTGACAACAAGACAGCAGAAAGTCACGCCGTCTGGTTGCGGTTAGCTAAGAAATAGTATCAAGTCCCCCCAGTGATTCTGGTAGTCTTCATGTGTGTGTACTCAGACCCTAGGTCCGACCCGACCCAGAACCCATACAGGTTCAGCTTCAAGTTTTCAGTCAATCTGGTCTGGATTGGGTCCCATTCTATTACCGCAGGTCCCAGGTCTGTTTATAATCACGTAATACCCGAGTGGACCCAAGAACACCTGTGATCACCAGTGATCACGAGAGATACGCATAAGTGCTGTGTGTAACCTGACTGATGTTTCAGCTGATTTACTGTCAGATTACAAGATTACTGCTGTTGCTTGCTGTTTTGCATGGCTTGTGTTCTAACTTGAGAATTTATGTTTGCTGTAGTTAATGCTCTCTTTATCCTGTGAATTTTATCCTTTTATTGTTTTCCAAAAATCTTGCCAACTGGCCAACACTGATACATTTACAGAAATGCTGATTAATGTGCATTGTCCTTTTAAATAAAATAAATTAAATGAAAAGAGTGAAAGTAGGATGTAAAAAATGCTGAGCAGCAGCATCAGCGAGCTGGAGGTGGAGAGGAGGAAATGGAGGCTTTAGTATTTCTTTTTTTTTTTTCAATTCAAGTATTTAGGGTATTTGTTTGTATTTATTTATTTGTTTTATTGTTATATTAATAAAAGTTCCTGTTGCCAATTTTGTGTAGGCATCAACAAATACATCCCTGTTAACATGAATTGCACAGTTTTGTGTGTGGCTGGGAATCAGAGGAGGATACAGTAAACTCAGGTACTTTATTGATCACCAAGCTGTAAAATAGACATTTGCAACATTATTAAACAACAACAAACAACAAACCAATTTAATTGGTTTGTCAGGTCTATAAAATCCTGTGTCTCGGGTCTCTCTCCTCTTAAACACGAACAGAGTTGGGTCTGTAATATCTTGAGCAAAAATGGGTGGGGTATACATATTTTTTAAAATGATCAGGTCCAACTGGGTCTCAGAATGAATTTCCTGGCTACATTAGGATCTGGGTCAGTCATTTTGGACCCATGAAGACCTCCTGGCTCTAGTTTTGTGCTTTTCTAAAGACATGAGAGTGGTATGAATCTTCTCATAAAATTTACAGCAAGAAAGCAAATAAGAATATTTCCCAAAATGTTGAATTCTTTCCTTGTGCGCTTATGAATTTTCTTATTAAAACTGTCTCCCAAACATTTCATGTCATGAGAAGAACTTTGTTGGTGGCAGATAGAAATCGCATTAGTACAGTATTTTCAGGTTTGACAACAGCTTGTTTGTTTTGGCATTGTGGGTGTTGTCATATTTCATCATAATCACTCTTTGAAAATCCATCTACTGTCCACCATCTGAGACTGAAAGCAGTGTATGACTCACAATAACATTGGGATGAGCTCTGTGATGCCCAGTATGCTGTATTTCAAGTGTACTGAAGCCAGTGATGTTCATTGAGAATTCTGCTGACAACAAAATCGACATAGAAGCTCCAATATATGCTGGATATGAGCGTTTGCCAAGAAATTCTTTAGGCTCTCTGCTTTGTATGTACAGCATGTGAAAAATATTCCATGTTGTTTTGGTTTGAAATTCATCTTTCACCTTTCACCGCCCACTTCGGTCCAACAGAAATGTCTATTTACATTGAAAGTGCTAATCACCACAGTTTCTGTAAAGCTCTTGTCACATCTATTGACAGGATTCAGGCCTAAAGTCGAGAGTGGAAAGAAGAGGCTTTGCAGTATTGATTGTCCTAAGTGAAGGATTTCTGCACCACAAAGATTACTAAGAATTAAGCAAGAGGATGTAGTTCATGTAGACCACAGTAATGACCAAGTATTTAGTGGCAATCAAGTCTCTAAAAAAAGGGTAATGCGTAATTAGACAGCAGGTACTTACGAACATGACCCTCTTGGGAATGTGGTCTGACTCAACTAGAGGATTCTTGTACAGCCAGAGCTCCTCTTGTTGAATCACTCTCTCAAATGGCTCCAGAAACTCTGTAAATCTGTGGAAAAGGACAAACGCACACTGATCAGTTACTCATTTTCAGGCATTTAGAAGATGCTTTCACACAGAGTGGTACACAGTGTCTGATTATGCTTACATTTCTTCATTTGCAGGGCGCAAAAAAAGAAGACCTGTTGGTTCTTTCACAAGGATAACATATCTGAGGCCATGTAGGCAGGACGACTTCACCCAAGACCACCTTCACTGAAGAGCTCCGCTCTCACACTCTCACTAAGTGGGAACAAATTAGCATGCTCCTGCTTTCTCCAGCCCTCCCTGGCCACCAAGTGATCTGTCAGACGCGACCTTGTTCTCCATCATCTCAACAAACTCTTTTTGTCACTGCACTCTAAAACAATTCAATAGGCTGCTCTGTTTCACAGTTGGGTTGCGAGAAACTGTACCTCCTAGGGCAAAAGAGAGCTTCAAAGATTTAATATTTAATAATTTAATATTTCTTTATATATCTTTGTAAACTACAGTGCTGCTGAGATATCGTCATCTGCATGTCTGTCTTTGGGGAAATTTGGTGTTAAAGTAGTGGAATGCAGAAAGCATTGCTGGTATTATAGCACAATTGTGAAGGGTATCTCACTTTATATGTGTGCCTCATACTGAAGAACAGGGCCCGTATTCACAAAGAATCCTAAGACTAAAAGTAGCTCTTAGTGACGTCATTCTAAGAATTCCTCGAATTCTAAGATTTTTCTTAGAATTTTCCCTTGGTAAGATAAAAGTTATTCACAAAGCATCTTAGGCCTTAAGAGAGCTCCTAAGGTGAAAAACTGTTAAGAGGAGGGAGGAGGATTTTTAAGAAGCCTAAGAGTGTCTTAAACAGAGAAGATGGCGGAAAGACAGAGAGGAAGGAGAGATATTCTCCGTATATTGAACAACAGTGATTTAATAAGACGCTACCCGCTTGATAGTGGATAATGGTTGTGGTTGACCTCATCAGGGATGAGCTTACTTTTCCCACCCAGCATAGTAACGCAATAACGCCCGCTTTGGATTGCAGCACGTAGGCTACCAGCGCTTCTCACACTCATCGCTTGTGCGTAAAAGAAGAGGGAACGACGCATTGATTTGTCGGGCAATGCACTCCCAAGTCTACCTCTTCCCTTGTGCCGTGATCCCGGGACCGAATTTCCCTCTTAAAACTCCTTTGTTCTCCTCCACGAGCTGTGCCAACAGCAGGCACTGCTCTTCTGTCCAGTTCGGCTTTCTCGTTCTTTTTTTCTCCATTTCATTCGTTGTTTTGGTCATTCTGCCAAATCAAACCGCTTTTTACAAGGAGGCCAGCAATCACAGTAATTGCTGACAGCTGAGTCTGCGTCCAGCATTAATATCAAATAGATTAAGTAGTAAAATTACCAGCATGGCGAGTAAACATAACAATAAGCAAATCAATAGGCTATAATAATTGGAATGTGAATGAGGTACGTTCAAACATTTTGAAGCTATGTAACAATTAATTTAATTTTGCTGAGTTTCATCATCATGACATAAAATTATTTTCATGATTACACATTTCTTAATACAGTCTAAGTTCTATGATGGTTGATTTCACTGTCCATTCATTACTAGGAGCGCATTTTTTTTTTTTTTTGTAACAACCAATCACAGCTTTTAGAAGACTGCGTCATACCTAGCAACGGGGTCAACCACACCTCCTCACTAAGATAAAAGTTTCTGTCCCCTCCTTGCTCAGAGTTGCTCTCAGAAACTTCCTGAATCACTCTTAAGCTAAGATTCCTTGCTAGGATTTTTTAGGTTAAGTTAGGATCTCTCTGAGAGGACTCTGAGAATCTCTGTGAATACGGGCCCAGGCCAATGTAAGTTTAAAAATAAATCAAAAGTACAGCTGCATGCTCAAGGGTTCCTCTAAAAATTCGGAGACCCCTGAAAACAACAAAAATAGCAAATGTCTGCATTTCCTGGCATTTTCGAAGGCCTGTGTGCACTGTAGCCCTTGAATCATTCATCATCAGCCCCCCTGCCTGCAGCACATTTTTTCTGACAATGAATAGGCCTGATCTCTCTTTATTCTAACTATCTGGATGAGGGGTTGCACTCATTAAAAATAAGGGACAGCAGGGTCAGTTGTCACACTAGTTTCATTTGAATCCCTCAAAAACTGTATCCTTCATAGATCTACTATCAATGTGTAACAGAAGCAAGCAGGAATGGAGTGAGCTAACTCCCCCTATGCTCCCTCTGTTCAAAAGATATATAGTAGGATGGGAATTTATAAGATGTCAAACATGTCTTATGTACTTTTTCCAGCATGGGATTGGTTGCCTATAGAGTTAGTTGTCCCCATGTTATTTTTAATGGGGAAAAATAAAAAATGGAAGCATACTTAAAAGTTAATTTAAAATATTCCATTTCATTAAAATGTTTCATTAATATAACAACCTCAACAGCTCATGCATAGAGAGAATATAAGCAGGAAAACCATTCCCTCAAGTGCATCTTCATACTTACATAACATCCTAAGGAACAAAACAAAGAGCAATACATGTGACAACCAGCCTGCGACAAGCATTCCCAACTGAAATCTTTTTTTAGTGACTAAGCTAACAACCACAGCCTAGATGAGAAAAAAAACTATAGCTCTGCCATTATACTTTTTAATGGTGATAATTGTTTTATTATAAACCTATTGTGTAAAAGCCTAGAAGAGAACACTTAAGAGTTGGATATTTACATTTTGACTTGAAAAACAAACACTAAAAGTCCTTGTTGTCAAGTGTTTCAATACTAACATGACCCCGTAGGTCACCTCTGATCCCAGTTCTGAAAATTTTTGAAAACTAATGAATGTGACAACTAACCCCATTCTCCTCCGATGAAACAGTGTGTAACGGATAAATTGCTGATAATGGTGGAAGTAAAGGACAAATGGGTGACATACTCTGATAAAAGTAATTTATAAATTGTTGAAATACAAAGCTAAAAGGAATGGAAATACAGTAGAAATTGTGTTAGCTAAAAGTGATGGACAAAACATAAAAATCTTTGAGACAAAAAAATCCTCAACATAAATAATAAAGTTGCCTTAAGTTTGTGGAAGGATTCTTGAGTCCAGCAGTTCATTCTCCAGATGAGCTGCTTAACTCTAGGTGGAAAGAGAAATTGAGAAATGCTCTCTCCCAAACAACTACATGCCCTTCAGCAAGGCATTTATCACGCATCTGCTCCGGTAGAGCAGCTCGCTGGCCAGCGGCGGAAGTGTGAGGATATCCTGTGCAGCTCCTCAGTGTGAATCTAACTGTGGAAATGTGAAGGAGGCCATCGGCTAAAAGGCACATGCATCTTCTGCAAAAACCTTTCCTAGATAAAAACGGCTTCATGTAGAACAAATTGCCTTATTTTCCCTCTCCTCAAGCTACAGGGAAATCAATTATACGTTTTTAATCTGTCTGAAAGACATGCGGCGTATTACACACTGTGGAAAGTCTATTTGTTGGTCCGCTGATAACTGTGTGTCATGATGTTTTTGCGAGAGAGCAGCCTAATCAGCACTAGTTCATTTTACACCTTGCTGAGCCCGTGTGCATGATTCACTTTGGCTGCATTACATTTACCGTATGTGGTGTACAAAAAAATTACCGGGCTAATAACACACAATATGCTTCATGAATTACTCTATTTTCTCAGCTTGTCCTCTCTTCAGCTCTCTTGTTCAGACATCAGTGACAGAGAATGTTATTTTGGTCTCCGGGGATTAAAAGCAGAGAGACAGATCACACAGACACACGCACACACACACACACACACACACGTTCCCCACCTCCGTTCTTATGAACACACACACAGAGCTCTCAGGTCATTAAATACAGCAGTGGTCTCCCTGTCACCCTGCAAGGCTTATTGTGCATCCAACCCCTAATGTCTTAATGAGTTTGAGGCACACAGTCTTCCCCAAGGTAACTACACAGATAAAATTCATCTTCACAATATTTGCTGTCACGTTAGAATGCACATAGCATGCACAAATCTGCTGCAGTGGGAAAAGAAACAATATTATTAAAAACCACTCTAACAGGGTTTTTGGGTAAAATCCTGGAGGTTTCCATGAAATTAAACCCCATTTTTATATTATAATGGCAGAGTCCGCCATACCCATGCTGGATATAGATTTCTACCCACCGTATGCATGATCTCACCAGCTCCTTTAACTTGCACACTGTAATTCTGTCCCTTTTTTGGGGCATTTTCTTACATTGTTGGCTGCTGCTTTACAATTGTGCATGTGGTGTCTGGCTGTGGAATGATTCCTGTTCACATCTAGACAGAGGTATTTCATTAATTGATGCAGCTACGGATGATGGTGAACATCTCAAATTTCACTATGACATTCTATTTTTAGATATCTTCACGAACACCATATTTGCTGAGGATGATCACTTTCATAAGCTCAAAATTAAAATGCCTTTTGGACATGTAATAATATTCCTCCTTCTTTTGGAGAATTTGTATCCAATCTCCTCCAACAAATCAATACATTCCTCCAAGGATTTTTCTTGGCTCGAGTTCTTTTTGCCTCATCTTCTCTTTTTCAACCATAAACTTTATTAAAAGAAACACTCCAATGTGGTTTAGGTGCACTTTAAGGGCTCCGGGCTCCGAACGTCAAACACAGTTGGAATTAATCAAGGCTTCATCCTTGATTCCATGGATAGAGGAGCCCGGCTTTGTGGAAATTCATTTTGCTTTTATTGTAATTTACAGGCTGAGATGAAAGCAGTAGGGAGCGCATCATTTACTGGCTGGCTGACTGAGGATGCATTTGTCTGAGTGAAGAAGGAAGGACAATGTGGATTACAGTCACATTAGTAAAGCTAATGTCAGAACTTGGAGAGGTAATGACATACACAGCATGCGCCCCAGTTTATCCTGCTGGGAAATAATTGTAATCACGTTGATTCAAAGAGAGAGCCGGAAGGTGATGGTGGGCTGCATTATAGTGGAAACAAACTCAGAATTGGCACATTC